TCTCTGATCCTTTCTCCTTTGGAGCCTCTTTATCCCTGGTATTACCCCTATCAAGCAGGAATACTCTAGACTCTTCATCTGTGAACCTTTTTAAGAATTTTCCTGTCTTCGCAGTTTCCTGATCTCCACCATCAGGATAAAATGAAGAACGTCCCCTAGCCTCATCTCTTGGAGCATTCTGTGGTGTGATTGTCTTTGCAGGGCTTCTTCGTGAAGGGATATGATGAATTGGACTATTCTGAGAAGGACTGTACCGACTAGATCCATTTCCAACAGAACCAGACCCAGACCTTTCAGGACTATGCTGAATGGAATGTGAATGCTGAGAGGGGGTGTTTTTTGCAGAGTGGACTGTACTGAGCATGGGGGCATCAGAGCAAGATGAACTCTGACTAGGTGGTGTAGCAATTGGTGAAGGATTATGAGGTGATCTAGGACTATCATCATAAGCTGAGAGGCCAGGCCAAATATCACCAGATGTGGCTGATGATTTGTTAAACTCATCAATAGATTCAGATGGGTCATGTTCAAATGTATCTTTCGGCTCCTCCTGTGATTTACTTTTCAAAGGACTCTCTTCTTGGGGCTCCCCTTCAGCTTTTTTGGTTTGTTTTTCCTGAGACCCTCGTCTTTTAGAGACAGGAGATTTGCTATATGGGGATGAAGAATGAGAAGAGGATGATCTTGGAGACCTAGAAGATCTATATGACCGGCGAGATCTACTTCGGGATCTTTGAGAAGAAACGGATCTTCTTTTTGGACTCCTGGAACGTGAACGACCTCGTCTAGGACTCCTAGAGTGTCTTCTATTCCAGACAGGTCTATAACCACCTCGATGATATCTACCTCCTCCTCCTCCTTGATAATACCCTCTGCCCCTTCCTCTGTACCCATAAGGTCGTCTCATTCCTCTATTATTTCTGTAATCTCGGCGATAATCTCTAGAATAAATACGATCTCTACTATGAGATCTTGAATATGTCCTAGAACGAGACCTAGAACTGTATCTCTTCTTTCTAGAATGTGATCTTGATCTTGATCGAGAACTAGACTGTGATCTAGACTTTGATCTTGAAGAATGTGATCTAGAATTGGAGCGACCCATTTCTTTTCTCCTTGGGTTTTATGCAGGATCAAACAGTCAAGTGAAGTCTTTAAGATACTGTAAAGTTCTTCCTGGAGAAAATGTTCTGAGAAATTAAACTTTAAATTCAAATTCCTGAAACGCCGAAAGCACCGTTCCCGGGACTTATCTCCGTTGTAACTACACAGCGGCCATTTCCCGACTCAAGAACGGGAGGAAAACCATAGAGGTATCTTCCACGCGCTAGCTCATCTCCATCACTTCCTGCAGCCCGGTATTCTTATAACGTGAACTGGGCATCTGGCTTTTGGCGCTGATGCCATTTCTTAGCAAGTCACACCCTCTGGCACCCAATGCACACGTACCCCTCATGTGCTGGGATCCTGGATTCTTCAGAACAAAGTCCAAAGTCCTTGCCATGGTTGGTGGACTCCATAAGACCCACCTCATGCTAGGTTCTGTGCTTGGCATTCCAGGAAATCTGGGGATGAGCAAATAGTCTGTGTGACTTGCCCACAAGGAACTCTCAAGGAGTCTTGTGGGGGCATCAGACACATCCACATAAGATGGGTTGGACCAGTGTCAGAGGGGAGGAAAGCCCCAAGAAGGGACTCAAAGGAGGGGGAGACCCCCTCTTTTGTTTGTGAGGTGGAATAAGAACCATCTCATGGTGGAGGGTGGGAGGAGGGTCACATAAGTCAGGCTTTGAAAAGTGGGCAGGATTTCGGCAGCTGAAGCAGGAAGGGTGTTCCAGATGCAGGGAAGAGCATGAGCTTGTGTGAGAGTCCAGGGCATGGATTCAGGTAGGAGGAGAAAATGACCACCTGGCTCTGAGGCCCTCCTAGCAGTTTTTGCACAGAATCCTAGTGAATTCTCCCAACTTATCTGAGGGGTAGCTGCTCCTTCCACTACTTTGGATGAGCAAACCAGGACTTGGGGACATTAGCTTGCTGAGTGTTACTGGCCACTAGTGCCCAAGCCTGGCTCACTCTGCTGTACTCGGCTCGAAACAGCCTTGGAAAGAAGGCAGGGAAGCTGTAAATCCATTTCACAGATGAGAAAAAGAGGCTTAAGATGGAGAGAGACTGATCGAAAGGTACAGAACCTCAACTAAATTCTCCTGGCAGTGAGGCCCCTTCACCATTCAGCTCGGGATCCCAGTGGGTATGGTAGTATGGATTTCCAGACCTTGTCTTTTTTATTGAGGGCATTCAAAGCCCTTTGCAGTTAATGAATTATATGCCAGCCCATCTAGAGAATTATGTGCTAAGCATACAGAACAACAGCTTGGTGAGGAAGGCTGGGTGGGCATCACTGCCCAGCTTGGCAGATGAAGAAAATGGCCAGAGAGGCTGAGACCTGCATGTGCCACACAGTCAGGCCTCGGGCTCCCTCTGCAGTGTTCCTCCCACAGCCTGTCTTCCTGCTTTTCTATACTGCCTCCCTGAGGGTCCAAGAAGAATCTGGCTCCTAGGGGTGGTGGTGTGGAGGCGCCGGTGCCCATGGACCTGAGCCTGGTGGAGGGGACAGACTGCAGCATGCTAGGGGAACACCGTCCTCCACTTGCCTCCTTCCCATTTCCCTTTGCCTACAGAAGACCAGCAGCTGCCAGGAGGGCTCAGTTCCCAACAAGGAGGAGGCTCTCTCTGGGGCTGGAATGCATGTGCAGGTATATGCGCAAGCAGCTGCCTCTCTTGTTCCAAGCCCTGGCATTTCCCTAGCCTTTCCCCTTCTCTGACGTGAGCTGGACTGCTCAGAGCCCCAGCGTCAGGAATCTGAGTGTCTGACTCTCAGAGCTCGGGAGGCCCTTGGGGGTCGTGTTCTCTAATGTCTCTTACTGGTTGTAGGAGTCCTTTCTTCAAAGCCTTTGGTAGCCACTCGGATTCTAATAGAAGAATCCTACAAGTTAGGTATTTTTACTCCACTTGCACAGTTACCAACTGAGGCCCAGACAGGTGAAATGAGCTGTCAGAGGTCATCCAGTGAGCAGAAGTGGGATTCCCACCAGGGCTCTGTGACTCCGCGGCATTCTCTGGTCTTAGCCCCCTGATGCAGAGTATTTGTGATGTACCTGGACCCACAGGGAACACTTCATGAGTTTTGTCTCATGGGCTGGGTCTCCCTGGGGAAGCCTGTTCTCCCCCTGGCCTGGGAGTTGGGTGGGAGGACTGGGGGAGGTTGAACTGTCAAGAAACTCCTTTGCCCCAGCCTCCTGTTGATTAGCTCATTAACTGCAGTTGTTTCCCCCCTAGATAGGGAGCCCCAAAGGCAGGGATAGGGTCTACTGATCCTGCTTCTCTGTGTAGCCTGGTACAGGGATGGCCCAGGGCTAGAGGGGCCCAGGGAGGACCAGTTGACCAAGGAACCCCACTTGCTCAAGTGGAGAAATGGGAAATGAAATCAGAGCAGCCCTTCATGTTCTTTGGTAGAGGGTCTGGAATGCCAGGGCTGTACTGAATCTAGCAGAGAATGGGGAGTTGTTGGTGGTTCTCAAGTCGAGGAATGACACCATCAGACCAGCGTTCAGAGTATGCTGCTGCAAATGTCAAGGCTGGACTGGAAGGTGAGAGGCCAGTGAGGAGGCTGTTGGAATGGTGGAGCAAGGGGTGTTGGAGCCTGAACTCAGGCAAGAGCAGCGGCCGTGGTGAAGCTGGAACCTATTTCAGACGCAGTTCTGAGCCACTCATGGGAGGCAGAATGGATGGGCATGGACTCAAGTCAAAAGTCATACCTTGGGCGGGGGAGGGAGGAGGCTCTAGAACTTTCATTAGTCAAGCTGTGGTGGAGAGGGAGGCCACAATGGTACGCTTAGGTGGGGGCTGCCCTGAGGCCACTGCTTCCCATCTTCCTTCCCCCTTGACTCCACCCTCCTGAATCGATACTTGAGGAAATCTAGCAGGCAGCAGAACTTTGCCAATGGCAAAGGGGAAGTTGAGAGCAGAACTCTCTCCTCTGGGGCACTTGAGTGATGGATGTCCCAGCTACATGGCCACAGTAGTAGTGCCCCATTAACGTCTGCTCGGTGCTTCTTGCATGAGGCACGGTGGTGAGGGCCTTACAGGTATTGACTAATTCAGTCCCTGAATATAAGGCTATACGGTAGTTGTCACAGTGATTCCCACTTCATAACCAAGGGACCTCAGGCTGTGAGGGCTTCAGCTAGTCATAAGACGGAAGGGTTGGGGCTGGGGTTGGAGCCCAGCTCTGTCTGACACCGTGCCTGTGCCGCTGTCCAGAGCCTCACACGTCAGGGGAGAGGTCGGGATCCCTGGAGCTGCTTGTTTACAGAGTGGATTCTCAGAGGCCGTCAGTGCCAGAGGTCCTGATTCAGGTCTGGGCTGGGGCCGGGGCATCTCTTCTCCATGGTAACTCGGAAGCAGGGATCGGAGGACCCCATTCTGAGATGCGCTGCCCGATCTCACCTTCCTGGCAAAGCCTCCACAGCATATCCCCGCTGAGGAAGCAACCTGAGTAGAGTTCTTTGGGCTCGTAAACCTCCCTGTATGTGAGGCCAGAGGTGCCTGCAGCATCTCTAACTCAGGAAGGGGGTCCCCAGGACCCTCATGGGGAAAGGGCTTAATGCTCTGGAGGAATTCTGGAGATTCTGTGCCAGACTAAGGAGAAAGCCACTTCTTATCTATGGAGATTTGCAAAATCACAGCCGAGGCAGCCAGCAGAGAAGGGGGACAGTGAGTTGTGGGTGACACGGGTGTTGGGGTCGAGCCTCAGCCCAGCCACGGTGCCCCCTCATCAGGGTTGCAGTTACCCCCTCTTGACTCGGTGGGGGAGGGACGCAATCTACCAGCTCGGTAGTGATCCCGGGCTAGTGATCCCTGTCAGCTCCTGGCTGCTCTCTGTAAGCTGCCGCGAAGGGCAGAACGTGGAGGGGGAGGGGGTGGTGGAGAATGGGTCTTACCTGTGAGTCCAGCCAGGGTAGCGGAAGCACAGGGCCGCCTTAAGGCTCCTTAGGGCTCCATCCCAGGAGGTGGCAGCAGGGGTCTAGTTGCCCCCTCGCCATTCACTGTTGTCTCTGCTGCCTCTGGCTTGGCACCTATCTTTATATGCTCCAGCTGACCTGAAACCTTACCCTACAGAAGCTTAGTTGACAGCCTGATCACCTGACAAGAGGCGGCTGGCTGGTGAGTGGCAGGGAGGTGAGGGGAAAGGTCAGAGTTCCAGATCTGGTTTAGTTCCTCTGACTTGGGTTCTTTAAAATAGCTCCTTCCAGCTGCTGAAAGAGCTACCTTAGGTAATAAGTGCATATGTGGGGATAGGGGTTGGACCAGTCACCTTTGAGAATTCAAAGGTCAAGGCCACACACGATAGGCTGGGCAGGGCTCTCCTAACATTAACAATAATAGTAACAGTTATTTCTTGGTGCCTACTATGTGCCAGGTACTTTATATATATTATTTCTATTTTTCACAACCCTATGAGATAAGTACTATTAAGATTTTGTTGTTTACTTATTTATTTATATATATATTTTAAAGATTTTTTTTTATTTATTTGAGAGAGAGAGAGCGCATGAGCAGGGCTTAGGGGCAGAGGCAGAGGGAGAAGCAGACTCCCCACTGAGCAGGGACTGAGATCATGACGTGAGCCAAACGCAGGTGCTTAGCTGACTGAGCCACCCAGGTGCCCAGGGTTCTGTTTTTTTAAATAACAGCTTTACTGAGATATAATTCACATACCATACAATCCACCTATTTAATGGATACAATTCAGTGGTTTTTAGTGTTCAGTTATGCAACTATCATCACAATTTTAGAATATTTTCACCACTCCCCACTTGGCCCCCCAAAATCCCTGTGTACATCAGTAGTCACTTTCCTTCTTCCCTTCCACTCAGCCCCAAGCAATCACAAATCTATTTTCTGTCTCTATAGACTTCTTTTTTTAAAAGATTTTATTTAATTATTTGAGAGAGAGCGAGAGAGAGCAAGAGTGGGAGGAGGGACAGAGGGAAAAGCAGACTCCCCCACTGAGCAAGGAGGCTCGAGCCCAGGGCTCCGGGATTATGACCTGAGGCGAAGGCAGATGCTTAACCGACTGAGCCACCCGGACACCCCTATCTCTGTAGATTTCTGAACCTTTCATATAAATTAAATCATGTAGTATGTGACTAGCTTTTTTCAGTTAACATAGTACTTTCAAGATGCATCCATGTTATAGCATGTATCAGTACCTCATTCCTTTTTTATTGCTGAGCATCCTAACGTTTGCAATGCTTCCTTTACAGAGGAGAAAATGGTGTCGGGGAGGGACATGGACTTACCCAGGTCATATTGCTAGTATATGGCAGGGCCCGACCTCCAGCCCTTAAATGGTAATATCTTATTCTGGGGCCTATCGGCTGTGACCATTACCGTCTCAGACAGGACACTTGGAGGCTTCAGCCCGGATACTGCTGAAGGGAGCCAAAGGCGGCTGGGAGAGGTGTGTGGAGCACAGCAGGGAGACACCCTAGCAGCTGCTACTACTGTAGGCTCCGTCAGGAGGCGCTGAGGGCAAGGGTGGGCCACATCTGAACCCGGGACCCAGGTGACCCAGGAAAGAGGAGGGGAGGGGGACCGGAGAAGGGAGGGAGAGGGAGTGGGAAGGGAATGAACTGGGCAGGCAGAGGAGTAGGCAGAAGCCATTTCTGGACTTGGGCACAGAGCCATGGCCACAGGGCAAAGTGGTCACAAGTCCAGACACTCAAGTGCAAAGCCAGGGCTGTGTCTGTCCTCTTCCTTGGACCAGGCCCTGCCCTAACATCAGCAGCACAGGCAGTTGTGCTGGTGTTTATAAGGGAAGGGGCTGCTAGGACCACTGGGGTTGGGCTCAGGAAGTGGGTTGTGGGCTCCAGCTGGAAATGCTGGCTGGAAGGTGGTGGGTGAATCGCAGTGGGTACGGGGGGAGGGATAAACAGCAGGAGCTCAAACAAGGAGGCCATGGGCCCTGGAGTACCCAGAGGGAGGACTTAGCTTACATTGGCCTGGGAGGCTTCTTGAGGGCAGGGCCAGGTGTGTCTGCTTTGGCTCCCTGTCCCCAGAACCCACCAGGAACTAGAAGTTCCAAGGTTGGCTGCAAGGGGCTGGGATCCGCCAGCGTCTGGGGATCAGAAACACCCATTTCAGGTCTCTGCAGAGGCGGTGCCTGAAAGGAGGTGAGGGAGATGGTGGCTGGTTGTCAAATGTGCAACTCCTGCCCTTGAGCCAGGCTGCATGGCTTGCGAGGCATTTCACCTCTGAGCTGTCACCGGGAAAGAGATCCAACTTCCAGGGGGAAGATACTGGTAACACACTCTTTTTAAGTGTAGGTGATGCTTTACAGACCCTTAGGGTGCCCTTGTGTTACCGGGGGCTGCCCTGAGCCTGTGTCCTCCTGAAGCCTTATCCTAACTTGACCCCATCAGGTTATTTACAGAAGCTGGAGTAGGATTTGGAAGGAATATTCTTCACCTGAGGCTTAACCCCTCAGGCCTGGGCCCCTGCCTGCCCCTCTGTAGGTTCCATGTGGCCTTAAGGGAGGTGGGGCCCCCTGCCTTGAAAGCTCCCCCGTCAGCCTGAGAGGAAGGCGCTGGGGAGGGGGCGAGTTGGCAGGCTGGTGGCTGGGGGGGGTGCACGAGGGGAACAAGAAAGGGCAACGGCCTGGTCGGAGGGCACTGCACCGATGCGGGTGGCACTCTGTCCCTCCTGGGGGTTCGCGCACTGGCCTCTACCGTCAGGCACGTCCTGCCTGAGAGTTGTTGGCCTATCTGCTGGCCTATCTGCTGCTTTGCTCCGGGAGCTCCAGGAGAGTGGGGGAGGAGTGGGAGGAGCTGACATTTCAGCTTCCAGTAAGTGCCAAGTGCAGGCGAAGCACTTTCACAAATGTCATCCCGGTTCTCCTCACAACAAGCCCTTGCAGCGCTATCCCCTCCCTTTTACAGATGAGGCAACGGAGGCTCAGATGGAGGGACAGTCAGGCCGGAGGGGGCCTATCAAGGAAGTGGCAGCGTCAGACCTGTCTCTTCCCTGTCCCCAGCAGCATGTGGCCCTGAGTGCCCTCCTGGTTCTTTCTCTGGGCTCATCCTCTGACTTAACTTTTCTAGGAAGCCCGCCCTGGTTGCTCCAGCCCACATGATCTTTCTTCATGAATTTCTCAAATTCAGAGCACCCACTGGCTACTCCCTGTGTGCAGAAGCCTTGTGACCTCTCTGGAAATGTGTGTGGTGGTTCATTTCCTAGCTTCATAAACAGAGGCAAATAACTTAACCTTGGTGTGTTTCAGCTTAACTATAAAATGGGTATCACAACGTGTAGGTTACAGAGTTGTTATGAGGACTAAGCAAAATGACCTGTGCTTGGGGAGGAGACGGGGACTCCATGTTAGTGCTCCTCCAACCTTCTCTCCCAGCCACTCCGCACAGCTTTGCCCTTATCTTCCCCACAGGCCCTGTCTACAGTAGCTGCTCATGTTTGGAGTCTGATAGTCTTAAGCCAGAGCGATCTATCCTAGAGAGATTAGGGATTCTGAGCAGACCTGTTCCAGGAGACCCCTCCACTTTGCTGATGGATCTGAGGCACAAGCAAAGGAAAAACTGGGTGTTACCCCAATCTGGACCAGTGTGATCTCTCACCAGGAAGTCTCACGGTGACCCTGGCCCCCAGTTCCAAGTGAGCTTAAGGGACTGCACGGTTTTCAAGCTTTCCTTTGGCTGTTAGAGCACAAATGGATTCCTAACACCCCAGTCCAGTGGCCAGCCCAGGAAACACCCGTGTACAGAATACCAATACCAATATGATTTTATTCAAACACAGGCAGAAACAATGACCTTCAGAGCTGGGTAAAAACAATAAGTTAAAAGCATGGTTAGAATCTCAGATAATCAGATAAAAAGTCTGAAGGAGGTGATTTTCCCCCTCCTTTTCTATTGATTGATTCAACACAGCATAAAAATAATTTATAAAATACCCTTATCTGTAAGCAAATCAATTGGAGGTGGCCCTAGGTTTCCTCAGCTATGCACAACACACACAATCTTCACCCCCTCCTCTACCCCACCCAAACTTTAAGGCAAAAATGGCCCGTGATATTCAGGCAGAAGGTGGGCTCATGTCAGCAGTAGGCTATCAAGGACACTGGAAGGAGGTTCTCAACTGAGGGATGCCTGCTTGGGTCCCTTGGTCAAAAGATGGGTGGTTCCACTTGGGTACTGGAATCCATTTTGTTTAGAAGGAAGAAGTTGAAATCCTAGCAGCTGGAATTTGGACTGGTTTGGGATGTTCCTCCAGGCTGCGCTGGATGGGTCTCAAGGTACCCATGGACTAGGCTGGTGGTGGTTTCAGGGCTCTCACGGCCTTGAAGGAAGCACACCTTGTGCCTCATGCAAGCTGGACAAGGCCAAAGGAGGGTGGGCAGGTGGATCCTTCCCTTTGTCTTTCAGTCTGTATTAGTCTTTCTGGGAGTATTGGGAAGAAAATATCCGTGCAATCCTGCGAGTTTCTTCCTCAGGCAAGTTGGGAGGCAGCGAGTTAGGTCTGGGACGACAAGGCCTTCTGGACAAGGCTCTGCTGGAGGCCTCACCCTTGTCCTGAAGAGAAAGAGGTCAGGTAGGTTAGCACTGAGGATATGACTCCAAGAAATGACTTTGGTTCCTCCCATAGTTTGGTCCTCTGGCTAATACTGATATAGAGCTGACTGGTTTACAAAGCACTTTACGTACCTGATCTTGTTTAACCCTCACGTCAACCCCATAGGTGTGTACATTGTTCCTACGTCATGGAGAGGAAACTAGAGATCAGGTTTAAGTAAACTCAAGGTCCCACAGCTTGGAGTGGCAGAGCCAAGATGTGAACCTTAGCTTAGACTCTGTCTATGCTTCTGGAAGAGGAGGAGTCCCCTTCCAGGACAGGTTTAAAGCTGCCTCATCCCTTCTCTTGCTGCATGAATATAGATAAGTCATTTGTCCTCTGAGTTGTAACTGTTCCACATGCGACCCTGGGAATATATCCAGCTGCCAGGGAGAAGATGTTGGTGAATCATACACTCTCAGTATGGTCCCTGGGAGTTCCGAGAGCTGGCAGGTGACATGAACCACATCCCCACGGCCCTCCTACCAAATCTTTCCCTGCCTCAGGCTGACAGGATATCACTAATTCCCCTTTAAGGTCCTAGTGTACATTTGGGTTATGACATGGTCTTCTGGACTCCTCTCTGATTCACTCTTTTGCTCATTCCACCTGCTCCCCACCCCACTTTATTTTTTGTACCAGGTTCCTGCCCTGAAGGAGCTCAAAGTTATACAGGCAGCTGGCTGACAGCAAGAGGCAGTGTTGAAAGGAGATGGGAGTCGCCACCACAGGTGAACTTGGCTGACCTCAATAGCATGTAGCCTGCCCTATGGATGGATATCTCTTCTCTGTCCCCAAATCCATGAGCTGAGATCTTCACAAGCTGTTGGAGGCATAGGCAGCTCACTGTACCACTCCCCAGGCACTGAGAATCAGCTTGGTGGAGACCCCAGAGATGGAAACTACCTCCTTGCTCCTTGCAATTCTACTAATGGGAAACTGAGGCCCAGCTAGAGTTGCTTCTGGGGTTAGTAACATTTAGTAATCCTTCCTTTCCTTCACTTAACCTTTTTAATGCCTACTGTGAGGAGACAGAAATGGAGAGAACCCAGCTTTTTTTTTTTAATATTATATTTATTTATTTGAGAGAGAGAGCATGAGCAGGGGGAGGGGCAGAGGAGAGGGAGAAGCACACTCCCCACTGAGCAGGGAGCCCGACACGGGGGCTTGATCCCAGAACCCCAAGATCATGACCTGAGCCGAAGGCAGATGCTTAACTGACTGAGCCACCCAGGTGCCCTCAGAACCCAGTTCTTGACTTCCATAGCTCAGAGAGGACAGAGTGATCTACTAAAAAAATTAGAATAGCAGCCAGAATGTGATAAGGGGAGCAGAAGCCAGGCAATCTTGAGGATTACCTGCCAATCTGGAGTTCTAAATGCTAAAGGAGTGCATAGAACCTGAGCAAACTCTCAGCACTGATAGCCCGTAGTTAGGGTTGCCTGAGAACCAAGAGCAAAGTGGTGCTAGTAGAGATGAGAAGATACAGCTCCATGTGTCCTAGGCAGGCCTAGGCTAAAAGGAAAAAAAAGGAAACCTACCCTTTGCTCATGATTGGAGTACTTCCTTCCAAAATATGAGAGGCACCTCATAGCATAATGCCTCAGGCCAGGGTAGGCCAGTTGCCCAGCCACTGCCTGTTGCCCTCCCCCTCTAGACTGGATGGGTGCTCCTGCAAGACATGGACTGAGTCTGATGCTTGTGACGCCAAATGGGCCAGGTCCAAGATAGGAGCTTGGTAGCTGCAAGACCAGTGAAAGGATGGGACCAAGCCATGGTGACCAGAGGCTGAAATTGGGTGGGGAGGAGACTGCCTCTCACAGAAGACCTCTTATTCATTCATTCTAGAACCAGTGGTTGTTGGCCTACCATTGTGCCAGGCCTTTGGTTAGGTCAAATCCTCTCAGGAGCTTGGCAAGCACATTAAGTCTCCATATACCCCTCTGTACTCCCAGTATCCAAGACTGTTGTTTCATGAGCTATTTAGGATTTATTTATTTATTTTTAAGATTTTACTTATTTATTTGACAGAGAGAGACACGGTGAGAGAGGGAACACAAGCAGGGGGAGTGGGAGAGGGAGAAGCAGGCCTCCCACGGAGCAGGGAGCCCGATGCGGGGCTCGATCCCAGGACCTTGGGATCATGACCTGAGCCGAAGGCAGATGCTTAACAACTGAGCCACCCAGGCGCCCTGCTATTTAGGATTTAGAGGTAACACCGAATCCCCTTCCAGTCCCCTGGCTACACTGCAGACAGATCTTCTGGGTCACCAGCTGTACCTTAACTTTCCATTTCTTTCTCTGCTACAGTGAAAGGGGATGACAGAGATGTTTGTTCTATAAGCTAAATGGGAAAACAGGCCTAAGAGCATAGTCCCCTATCTCAAATCCTAAACCAAGCTTCTGTGTCCTCATCTGTCAGAAGAGAAGCACTGTTTTTAAGAGGCTCTGGTGGGTCTTGTTTTCCATCATTGAAAGGGCCAAGTACCTCAGTTCATGAAATGACCATCAAAGACTTGGTGACTCATCAAGCCTTTGAGGAGAGAGCCTAAGATCTACTCAACCTGATCAATTTTTTAAAAATTTTAAAAAGATTTTATTTTTTTTTTGAGAGAGAGCGAGCGCACGCACATGCATGATGGGGGGGAGGGGCAAAGGGAGAGGGACAAGAAGGCTCCCCGCCGAGCAAGGAGCCCAACGTGGGACTTGATCCTAGGACCCTGGAAACATGACCCCAGCCAAAGGCAGACGCTTAACCGACTGAGCCGCTCAGGTGCCCCTCAATTCGATCAGTTTTTAAGGACAATTAAGTAGCCATGATTTCTGTCACCACAGGGTTGCTCAGGCTAGAGGGGAGAAGACAGATGCCAACCTACCTAACAATCACAGAGATGAAGCTTAGAACTCGGGAGCATGGAGAAAGGAGCAATTCATAACAGCCAGGATAGACAGGGGAGGCTTCTCACAGAGGTGAGATCTGAGATGGGCAGAGTTTCAGCAGAACTGGTGGTGGGGTGAGGTCATTTCACTGGAGGGAATAGCATGAGCACAGGCCTGCACCTGACTGGTTGGGCCAACATCTGCCCTGGAGCTGAATCAAGTGTGGCTGGTTCAGCCAACTTCCCAGCACCCACACCTGGACTCGCCAGCCTAGGGGGCCTTATCTTTATGGCCCAGGCCCAGGGACAGGGCTTGGCTCTATGTACGAGGCAGGGCAGGGGTGTGGAAAGACGGAGAACAGACACTCAGCAGCATTTGGCTTTTGTTGCCGTCAGTAGGGTCTAAAAAACATCTTGACTAGGAGTAAAGGTTCTTCCTTCATCAGAGCTGTTACTCCAAAACACACAACTTTGGAGGGGCTGGGCAGAGGTGCAGCTGCTCAGAACAAGGACACCCCTACATGTACCGACTGCTCCTCCGAAATCCTTGCATGCCCCCGCTAGAGCCCTGGGTGCCCAGGTGCCCGGAAAAGAGCAGGGCCCCAGGTTCAGGACAGATGCCTGCCTTGCTCAACTTTCACCCCCTTGTCTGGCTGCCTTCCCCTAGGCTGGGACTAGGACTTCCTTGGGGCTAGACAGTAGCAGGTTCAGCAGCCACAGCTAGGAGCAGGGGGGAAATGGGGACAAGATATCCAGACCAGGGACCTAGCCCTGAGGGGCAAATCCTAAATTTGAGCACCCAGCCCAGCTGCAGCATGGCTGGGCTCCATAAGCAGATGATGGGAGAGGAGGTGCTCTGTCACCCAGGAACTGCTTCCAGCTGGTGGGTCCTTCTTTGGCCAGGTCCTGTGATATAGTGTCTCTAAAATCTCCCTCAGGAAGGACCAGCCCTCTACTTTGGGCTGAAATGTGGTCTGGTCCAAGCCACTGTTTTCTGGGTTCTCTCCACTCTAGTCCCCAGATGGATCCCCTTGAACAGACCACCTGCTCCCAGGAAGGTGGTGGGTGCAGGTCTCCCCACTTACCCCTGCTTCAGGGTGTTCCTGGGACTTACTCAGAGGAGACAGTGGGGTGGAGTGGAAGGAAAAATGGTCTGTGGCCAAGCCCAACTGTCCACTTGCCAAGACACACTCTTTCTCTGGGTCTCAGTATCTTTGTTACCAAAGGGAACTAGGAACTTCTGTTTGGCCTTCTTACCCAGGTCTACTGTGAAGGTGAAATGAAATTCAGATGTGACCAAGGGTCTGGCCAGGTACATCTTACAAAACACAGAGGCTGAGCTAGAGCTAGAGCTGACGCCTGCTGCAGAGAGCAAAATGAGACCTTGCTGTTCTCAGATCTCACCCTAGGCAGAGTAGAAGTAAGGTACTATACCTCCGCAAGGCATGCCCCCAGGCCTGGCCAAGCTCTCCCCACTCCACTGCCCTCTGCCCAGTGAACCTCTGGCCCTGGCATCAGGGCACACGTTCTGTTTTTTTCCAGAGCAGTTCCTTTAAGTAACATAAACACAGACTTAGTTGATGGAAACAAAGCTTTTGCAAGAGCTGAAAACTGAAAGTAAACAGCTCCCTGATTCGGGCTGGCCAGGTGGGCTTGCCAACAGATTGCTGCCTCAGAGACAACTCAGTACAGCTGCCTGCCTTCCTCAACTTTCCCCCCCTTGGCTGGCTGCCTTCCCCTGGGGTGGCTCCCAGAGTCCTCTCCGAAGGCTGGAACTAGGACCTCCTTGGGCTAAGGAGAGTTAGCAGGTTCAGCAGCCACAGCTAGGAGCTGGGGGAATGTGGGGAGAAGACACAGACCAGGGGCCTAGCCCTGAGGGGCAAATCCTAAAATTTTTTTTTTTAAAGATTTTGTTTTATTTATTTATTTGAGAGAGAGAGAGAATGAGAGATAGAGAGCACGAGAGGGAAGAGGGTCAGAGGGAGAAGCAGACTCCCCGCCGAGCAGGGAGCCCGATGCGGGGCTCGATCCCGGGACTCCAGGATCATGACCTGAGCCGAAGGCAGACGCTTAACCAGCTGAGCCACCCAGGAGGCCGCAAATCCTAAAATTTAATCACCCAGCTCAACTGCAGCACGGCTGGGCTCCATACTCTGAGCTCACTCTGTGTTCCTGCATTAGAGCTCTGGTCCCATGGTTCTCACTACCCACACGCTCCCTCCATTCCTCACCACACCCTATTCTCTCCCTATCCTTCCTCTGAGGAGCCTTCCCGGACAACAGGCCCAGTCTATAGGGACTAGAGCCACTCCCTCACCCCGGGCCTCAGTCTCCGCATCTACAGAATGAGGCAGTCTGACTAAATCAAGACTCCTTGACCCTCTGAACTCACGCCCTGCCAGGGAGAGGGGTTGAAAGTCCGGACTCCTGAGAGGGAAGGGTTAAATGCCACTCCTGGAAGAGGTCCTGGCTCCTCCCAGACTCTGGCCTCAGAGAAGCTCAGGCAACTTGAGCCCTGCGCCTGCCCAGCAGTCCTGTGGGCCCTTTCCTTTGAGGTGCCTGCCAAGTTGCATTCTGGGCCGGGCTCTTTCCCCTGACTTCTGTACACCCTTGGCCAGGGAGCTCATCTTCCAAAAGCTGTGTGTGGCCTTTATCAAAAACCCTTGGACCTTTAGGACTCTTCTTGGCACTCTGCAGAGAGCTAGGAACTTGGTGGCTCGAAGAAATGAGGCAATTCGTCAAGAGGGACATCTCCACTATCAGGCTTGGACCACAGGCTGAGGAGAGAGGATACTGGGCTCAGGAAGTTCCCTTGGGCCCCTGCTGACCTGATCTGATGATTCTGTGGAAGC